GAGAAGGCTGAGGGGGGATCTTGTGGCCTGTTATAAACTGGTTAGGGGGGATCAGCAGGCGCTGGGGGAGTCCCTGTTCCCCTGAGCACCGCAAGGAGTGACCAGGAACAATGGTCACAAGCTGGCGGAGGGAAGGTTTAAGTTGGACATCAGGAGGTGCTACTTCACCGTCAGGGAGGCTAGAGTCTGGAACCAGCTTCCAAGTGAGGTGGTGCAGGCTCCCACCCTGGGGGTTTTTAAGAGGAGGTTGGATGACCACCTTACTGGGGTCGTTTGACCCCAGTGCTCTTCCTGCCATGGCAGGGGGTCGGACTAGATGTTCTGCTCAGGTCCCTTCTGACCCTAGAAACTATGAAACTATAGAGAGACTAGAACATGTATCAGTTTTGAATGAAAGAAGTTCTACTTCACCTGTTACAATAATATGTTTCTTATCTAATACGTCCCTTCCTGTAAACAGATACCATAAAACGGCAACACTTTACACTAGCAGCTGACAGCTGCCACACAAGATCCTAGCTAGTGAAAACAAGAAGTTTTCCTTGTGCTTACCTGAGCCTCCAACGCACCACCCTCCACCATGAATGTAAATTACTGCCCTTTTCAATTCACTGGACTGCTTCCTGGGTACATATAACCGAACTGGAACATTCTCAAATTCTGTATCTGTCACAGTGACATTTTCATCAGATGTTGGTGGAACATATTCATAACTTGTGATCATCATCAGAACTTCCATGTAGTGCATCAGACCCAGCTGCTCAGCTAAACCAGCCTGAGATCAAAGAAAGAAAGATCAAAGTTGAGTTTAAGATCACTACCTTACGTATCATTTGAGTTATATTTCTGAATTACATTTTAGGTTCAATTAGGGACCTCTTCTTTTCTTAACTCAATAAGGCTAAGGACAGATAGTCAAAAATCCTGAGGCTGAATCAGTTCAGTTTTTCCAGGTTAGTTTAAACTGCACAGATTAAACTGAGAAACAAATGGACAGACATTCACTTTTGATTCAGGAAATGCAACCACGTGCCTGCAGTGGGTCAAGCCAGAAACTCCAGGGATGCTAAAGCACAGCTCTCTGGCACATAGCCAGCATGGGCTGTGTGTTTTCTTCTTTTTTCTACTGCTCCCGAGGTCTCTGAGATTTTCAGTCCAGAATTACAACAGCAGGACTCTGCAGAGTTACTCATCACTTCCTCTTCTTTTTCCAGGTGCCTCTGGGATTTGTAGTCCACAGTAGCAGCCAGCAATAAGTTTTTAGCAAGGCAGGACAGTTCTGTACTCAGGGTAAGGGAAGTTTACACCCCTCCCTGGCCCCAGACCCCAGCCAGGGTTTGCCAGAGGATGAGGAGGGGGGAGGAAGTCCCTGCCTCCCCTTTACCCCTCAATCCTTCGCTGTTGGAGAAGACAACGCAGCCCAGCCCAGGGGTGGAAAGCATGCTGGGATGCTGAGAGACTGTGATTTAACTTGAACCAAGAAAGGGTCTGGGACAGAAGTTTCATAAACTGGTTTGACCCAACTCAGGTAAATCTGATACTACATTCAACCAGGTTTATCTTAAACCAGTTTTAGCCATTTTGAAACTGGTTTATGTACACTGAAATTCTATTCTGTTACAGGTTTAAACCAGTTTCTAATCACTTAAACCAATTTATGTGCAACTTCCAGCCCTAGAGCTTTGCCATTGCCATCAATGGCTGAGTCTGTTACACATGCTTTGTAGATTTATCTTAATAATAAGGGACCATTGCTATTAGTGAGACTGTAGATTAACATCTGCAGAAGATAACCTTCCACTCCCAATATCCCAAAGTGCCAAAACATGTCAATCTTCATTCTTTCTTCGACATAACATTCTGCAGATAGATCATTAGCCCTAGGAGGCAGACTGTCAGGACAGTTTTGGTCCCTCAGAAATCTTTAAAATTGTCCACCAAAGAATCAATTCGATATACCCCACTTTTGACTTTTATTCAGGTGCTTTACAAAGGAGAAAGGCAAGAAAAGCACAAAACATTAACTTACAATTAATGGACACACTCTTAGACACAGAAATTATGTCTGCATCTAGTTTTTGTTGACAAGTTTAATTTATGTTATGATCTGAGGCTCCCTCTAGAATATGTTTCCAAAATACAGACACCAGAAACTTCACTTTCAGCAGCTTTGTTCACAACTAATGTCCATGAATAAAGAGGTTTAGGCAGATATTTTTATTGCTAAAAATAGATGTAAAAACTGAACATAACTATCACAAGGGAATCTGAGGAAATTACATGATAAATTTATTTAGCCCGTGGCATCACAGCTGATGGAAGCTGGTACTCACATGATGAAGTCAGAATAAAAAAGCCTAATAAATCCATTTTTATTTAGTGAAGAGTACATGTCTTGTATCTCTGAAGTGCAGAATATTCTATTCAAAAGTAATAACAGATCTAAAGTAAAACTCAGAATTCCTTGGGGAAGCATTCTATAATTTTCATAGATTTATAGACTTCATAGATTTTTAGGGTTGGAAGGCACCTCAGTAGATCATCAAGTCTGAGCCCCTGCCTTGGGCAGGAAAGAGTTCTGGGGTCAGATGACCCCAGCCAGGTGCTTGTCCAGTCTTCTCTTAAAGACCTGCAGGGTAGGAGAGAGCACCATCTCCCTTGGAAGCTCACTCCAGATTCTGGTAAACTTTACCATGAAGTTCTTCCTGATGTCCAATCTAAATCTGCTCTTTGCCAGTTTGTGGCCATTGTTTCTAGTCACCCCAAGGAATGCCCCGATAAACAGAGTATCTCCTATTCCTTGATGCCCCACCCCAATGAATTTGTAGACAGCCACAAGATCACCTCTCAGCCTACTTTTGTGGAGGCTGAAGAGATCCAGGTCCTTCAATCTCTCCATGCAGAGCCTTACCTGCAGGCCCCTAATCATATGAGTAGTCCTCCTCTAGACCCTCTCAAGGTTATCCTACTCCTTCTTGAAGTGCGGTGCCCCAAACTGGATGCAGTACTTCAGCTGCAGCCTTACCAAAGCTGCATAGAGGGGAAATATCACCTCCTTAGACCTGTTCATGATGCACCTGCTAACGCATGATAGAGTGTGGTTAGCTTTACTTACCACTTCATCCCACTGATGACTCATGTTCATCATGGAGTCTACTATGACTGCAAGATCCCTTTCTGTTAGTGTGCTACTTAGAAGGTCATCCCCCAGTCTGTATGTGTTGATGATTCTTTCTCCCTAGATGCAGCACTTTTTACTTATCCTTGTTAAACTCATCAGTGATTTGGATGAGGGGGTACAAAGCACCCTGTTCAAGTTTGCTGATGACACTAAGATGTGGGGGAATGTGGGCACAATAGAGGGGAGCAACAGGCTACAGTTGGACCTAGATAGGTTACAAGGATGGGCGGAGGAGAATAGGAGGGGGTTTAACACAGACAAGTGTAAGGTGATGCACCTGGGGAGGAACAACCGGCACCATACATACAGGCTGGGGAACTCCCCTCTTGTCAGCATGGAGGTGGAAAAGGATCTGGGAGTCATTATTGACTCCAAGATAAACATGAATCAGCAATGTGGGGAGGCGGCTAGGAAGGCCAACTGCACCTTGTCGTGCATCCACAGATGCATCTCGAGCAGGTCCAAGGAGGTGATCCTCCCCCTCTATGCGGCACTGGTCAGGCCGCAGCTGGAGTACTGCGTCCAGTTCTGGGCGCCGCACTTTAAGAGGGATGTGGACAGCATGGAGAGGGTCCAGAGGAGGGCCACTCGTATGATCAAGGGACAGCAGGGTAGGTCCTATGAGGAAAGGTTGCAGGACCTGAACCTGTTCAGCCTTCAAAAGAGAAGGCTGAGGGGGGATCTTGTGGCCTGTTATAAACTGGTTAGGGGGGATCAGCAGGCGCTGGGGGAGTCCCTGTTCCCCCGAGCGCCGCAAGGAGTGACCAGGAACAACGGTCACAAGCTGGCGGAGGGAAGGTTTAAGTTGGACATCAGGCGGCGCTACTTCACGGTCAGGGCGGCTAGGGTCTGGAACCAGCTTCCAAGTGAGGTGGTGCAGGCTCCCACCCTGGGGGTTTTTAAGAGGAGGTTGGATGACCACCTTACTGGGGTCGTTTGACCCCAGTACTCTTTCTTGCCATGGCAGGGGGTCGGACTAGATGTTCTGCTCAGGTCCCTTCCGACCCTAGAAACTATGAAACTATGAAACTGCATCCTATTCTGTTTTGCCTATTTTTCCAACATGTCCAAATCCACCTGAATCCATTCCCTGCCCATCCATGTGTTTACTTTGCCTCATAATTTGGTGTCATAGGCAAATTTGGACAGAGTGCTCTCCACACCCTCATCCAAGTCACTGATAAAAATATTGAACAGCTCAGGTCCAAGGACCAAACCTTGGGGGACACCACTGCCTACATACATCTCTGATACCGACTCATCCACCACCAGTCTTTGGGTGCATTCCATAAGCCACTTTGCCACCCACCTGACAGTGTAATCATCTACATCGCATCTGCTTAGTTTATTCATCACCTGCTTAGTTTATTTATAAGAATGGGATGAGACACTGTATTGAAGGCCTTTTTAAAATCCAAGTAGATGATATCTACCTTGACAACTGTATATAAGCATTTTGTGACTTGGTCATAAAAAGAAACAAGAATAGTCAGGAAGGATCTATGTGCTATGAATCCATGCTGGTTGCCCTTCAGCATTATTTTTCCTGCTGGACTTTCACAAATGTGTCCCTTAATCATTTTTTCAAAGGTTTCCCAAGGATAGAGGTGAGACTAACCAGCCTATAGTTACCACAATCCTCCTTTCTCCCCTTCTTGAAAATAGGGACCACACTGGCCCTTTTCCAGTCATCTGGGACCTGACTGGAGCACCACAAGTGCTCAAATAGTCTTGCCAGTGGTTCTGCTATAACACTGGCTAATTCCCTAAGCAAGCTTGGACAAAGATTGTCTGGGCCTGCTGACTTAAACATGTCCAGCCTCTCCAAGGGTCCCTTCCCTAGGTCAATGCTAACTGTTGGTAGGCTGGTGTCCCTCTTGTGCCCGTCTACAATCCAAATGGGAGATATGCCTTTATCCGTGTTCAGGAATACAGATGTTAAAAACTCATTGAAGAGCTCAGCTTTGTCACTCCTATCTGTCACCAGTTGCCCTAGTCTGTCCTGTAGGGGTTCTATGTTGCCATGTGCCTTATTTTTGCTTCCTATATGCCTGAAGAAGGACTTTTATTTTATTGCTGCATTTTATAATGTTGTGTTAGATTTCTATGTTACTGTGCTAGTAACAATTGGAACAAGATAGCTGAGTTTTATATCTCTGAAATAATCAGGAATTATTTGAAGAATGTTAAACTTTTTTAGTATTGTAACCTCGGCCCTGCAAAACACTAAGCAATTGCTTGAGCTCTCCACATGTAGATTATTGAACCCCTCAAAATATTTCTTATTGCTATGAAGAAAACCATCCTGTCATAGCGAACTAAATTGAATCCCTTTTACAGGAAGTCTTTTTCCTTCATGGAACAGATTCAGTAGACTTCAGGGAAGGTATTTCATGCAATATAAATGTTATTGATTTTACCATATAGGATATTGTTTTGCTAATGTATTGCTTGTCAGTAGTCAGTTGGCTAAAACACAATTTATATTACAAAGGAATACAAAGAAAGCTGAAATGTAGTGCTGTGT